TGCCGTATTGGGAGCGCGACTGGTAAACACGGTAAAGGCTAAAGCCGAGAGACGGCGCGGGGTGTGGACACCGTGGCACACATTCAGTGGAGCCGAGCGCGAGTCCCTTCGTGCTTCGAGCGTCGACTGGGTTTTTTGGTTACACTTTCGTTCGGACACGTTCCCCTCCGCCCGGGCGCAGCCGCACCGCGCTGCCAAAGCGGAGAGCGAGCCCCAATCTGAGACGCAACCCCCATTGACGAAAAAAACGCCTCAGCCCTCACGAGCTCACGTGAGCCCTTAAGCTTAACCAGGAAGCACCAAAAGCTAAATCTTCCGCATACATGTACCGCAAATCTCCTTTTCATAAATGCGAGAAAGAAAACCACCGAGCAGTCAACTCAGCGCGCGCGGAACCCCTCAGAGGGAGCTTCGTCGAGCGGCGCCCCGGCAGTAGACAAGAATTCTTGTGTGTCCTGCGACTCGGCGTCTCTCGCGCGGCTGGCGACTTTGCTCCAGCGATTCATTGCTCCAAGAAACAAAGATGCGCACCGAACGACTGCTGTCGGTGAACGAGGACCGCGACTCCCTTCTCGACGCCGCGACACACGCCGATCCGGCAAGGCTGCGCGCCCTCCTCGCGCGGGGCGTCGCCGCCGACGACCCAGAGGCGGAAGGGTGGGAGCAGCCGCTGGCGCACGCGGTTTCACACGGGCACACCGAGTGCGCCAAGCTCCTCGTCGCCGCCGGCGCTCGCGTCAACAGCTCCATGGTCCTGTGGGCGCTCGAGGCGCTCCCAGATGGCGCGATGGCACGAATTCTGTCGGGCGCGCCTGCAGAGAAGAAGGGCGGGCAGGCGTGGGGCGAGAGGCACCGCGCGCTCGCCTCGAGTCTGCTCGTCCGTACCTGCGCGCAGTCGGGCGGACCGCGGCTCCTGCAGGCGTGCCTCGACATGGGCGTGCCGGCCGATTTTCAGCTGACGATCGGCGACAGCCGTCTGACGCCCCTCGCCCTCGCCGCGGCCGTCGGAGAGGAGGCGTGCGTCGAGGTGCTTCTGCACGAGAAGGCGGATCCTTCCCGCACCGCGTTTGTCGCCGGCAATCACACCACCCCGCTCCAGCTGGCGCGCAGCGCCGGCAGCTCGGCGGTGGAGCTCCTGCTGCGCCAGGCAGGAGCCAGCGAGCCGGCCGCCCAGCCAGCCTGCGCTGCCGCGTCGTCGGATCACGCAAGCGAGGTGGCCGTCGACGCTTCCTCTGTCGGAGCGGACCCGTCAGTCTGCGCCGCCGACCCGGCAGATTCGGTGCACGAGCGGTCCGCGAACGCGGATCTGCGTGTGGCCAAGACGGTCATGGGTGGCTACCGCTCGCCGCTCCGGAGCAACAGCAACTCGCCGTCTCCCCCGGCCTCGCCCGTGTGCCGGGCGCGACTTCAGCGATGGTTCTCCACGCCCGCCACGGAGTGATCAGTTGAGTGCACTGACGGCAAGCATTTGCGCGCGAAGAGCCGCGCGGAATGCAACCTTCGGGGAGGGCCTGATGAGTGGTTTTGGGCACTGCCATCGGGGCAGGTGAGAACACTGCGAGAAAGAAGAAGAAGCCGACAGCAAATTTCAGTTGACGCAGGGAGGTTTCTGTTCCACCGCTCTCTCAGAGAGATTTTTGAAAACCTCAGCGACCAGCGCGCAGCGCCCTCCCAGGTTGCAACGGTCGCCGCCAACTTTAGGCTGTATACCTGTTTCCTCGCTCATCCCGTCTCTTCCGTGTTTCTCTACAGTACCCTCTCGTTTCCTCTCTATGTTTCCCGAGGAAACTCCGTGGAAATCAGCTGGTTTGGGCCCAAAATCAGCCAAATCGGCAAAATATTTTGCGGGTATACCTGGAAAACCCCGGGGCCGCAGACCGCTCAGTCTTCGCTCTTCCTCTTGAAGTCTTCCACCGCGCAGTCCGCAAGAGTGAAGAGACACCAGGTCGCAGCTCGCACGCAGGGACAGGACTCAGGAGCGGCACGCGCAAAGCGACGAGCGGGAATGCGGATGCGGTATTCCCAGGTAGAGGCTGGTGATGGCGAGGGTCTCGCCGAGTCGACGGCGCAGGTGCCTCAATCCTGGCCTCCGGCGGGACGCCTCGCCGGCCGTGGATCCCCGGCGTGATGGGGGCCTCAGAGCTCAATGCGCAAACCGAGATGCGGTGAGCGAGCGCCCTAGCCTGAGCGCGCGCGGCGGGAAGCCGCGGCGCTGGCGGCAGGGTCGGTGACGGTGGATAGCGTGTTGGGCGAAAAAAGGGCGGAGTCGCGACGCTCCGCCGCTGCCACGTCCGGCCGGAGCCCGTAGCGCCCTGCACGGCGGGGCCTCGTGACCTACATCGATGTAGATAAAGAAACCACACTGCGCAGTGCACACACCACGAGATATGGCTGGATGAGCCTTCGGCCAGACGGCACCCAACCCTCCCTCGCCGCCGCCGCCCGCCCCGCCGCCGCCCTAGCCTCCGCCGCCGTCCGGCATGCCGCCGCTCTCGCCGCCCTCGCCTTCAACGCCGCCCTCTGAGCAGTGGTCGAACAAGAAGATTGGATAACTCGGCTGACAATCTTCCGCACGGCTTAACTGTCCTGCTACAACTCTACGCTACACGAGGTGCGAGGGGTCGGGGCCAAGATAGGCGGCTGCACGTGTGGGCGCGAGTACCGCTATACGTGTCTGCACGTGTGGCCACGTATCTTGGCTAACAGAATGACATGTATCAGCCCCGCCGAGCTCGATGCGCGGCAGCGGGTGAGGGCGGCTATTCTCCCCCGAGGCAGGCAAGTATACACAGTCCCTCGTGTCGCGCATGTAAGTCCCGGTTGCCGTGCGCGCCAGCGCGTGTGGCCGCGTACCTTAGCTAAGATACGCGCGCACGGGCGTGGGTGGGCAAAAACGGGTCACTTTGCGGGGTGACTAGGTCCAGCCCTGGGTGGCATGGGTTGTGACATTTGGCGATTCCGCGGCTTACTGGGCCCCTGAGCCGCTCCCCGTGTGCGATTCTTGTGGCCCAGGCATGGTACTGATAGTAAACGGTTCAGAACCGGCCAAACACAGGCTACAGCCCCACACACGCGCCCGCCATAGCTCCTGGAGAGCATGCGCGAGTGACGCGCTACAAGCCGCGAGAGTAGCATCAGAGGCAGGAACGACGTGCTCTTGCTGCACCTCGCAGCTGCACCGAGTGTGCTCGCAGTGTATGCTACGGCCGCCGCCTACGGCATTGCTCTCGTGCAGCTAGGCGACGCAGGTCCATCAGCAGGGCATCCAATGCGAGCGCAGCAGCGCACATTGTGCGTAGCCGCGGGCAGGTGGCAGTGCACAGCCGCACACCGGCTCTGGCGGCTCGTATGCCCCCGGCAGTGCTGCTAGTCATTAACTTGCGTAATGGGGCCGCAGCAGGCTGCTGCTGTGGCAGCAGCAGCAGCCTGCTGCTGCCTGATTCAGTCAAGCCAGCGGCGCAGCGAGGCGTGCAGAATTCGCGTGGTTTTGTCCCTCCTGAGGCTGAGCGCATTCGAGCCCATCGACCGGAGTTGGATGGTACCACGCGTCTCACTGAGACGCGGGGTACTGGCCATGGCCGGACGGCCGAGCGTGAGGTGGCGAGCGGAGCGAGCGACAAAACAACGAGAAAAACAGGATCTGACGGATGTCAGCATGATCGTCTCGTCGTCGCCAGTGGCTGGGTCTTCTGGCTCCGACCGGACGGCTCCAACGCCCAGCATCTGAGACATGAACGCGAGGTCAAATTCTGGCACGTACGGCGGCAGCTCGGGCATCTGCCTCTGCCCCCTCGCCGCATCCGCGAGCGCGCTCGTGTCAGCTCGCCGCTGCTCCTGGTGCCGCTGCTTGGCCGCCGCGCTCGCACTCGCTCCGCTCAATGACATCGTGAGGCTGCAACGGTCTGCGAGCTCCTTTCGCCCAGCGGGTCCACCACAGAGTTCTCCCAGTCATGTGCCCAAATGCGCCCGCCGTTTTTCGTCATATCCCCCCCCCTCCGAAACCCGCCGACTTTGATTGGGTCCGGTTCAACCTCACTCCCATCTCTATACTTTCAGATACAAAACGTCAGATCTGTGCCACCCTGGGCTGGACCTAGTCGGGTTTGCCGACTATGAGTCTATGACGGTCCACTGCTCTCTGACCCGGAGCGGCTTGTGCTTCCAAGAACGAGCCTCAATCCACGGCGGATGAAGGACTACGAGCTCGTCCTCTCCCTTTGGCAACGCCTTCGCGCCAAACACACCGTGACGTGGAGGCATGTGAAGGGTCACAGCGACAACAAATGGAACGACTACGTCGACGAGCTAGCTACTCGCGGCAGGCAGGGTGACAGAGGCTCAAACGCTGCCGAGTGGGCGGACGACACCATCCCGACGGACACTCCCGACGAGGGAAGCAACGCGGAGGGGGGCGACAGCAGTACCATTGGACACGGAGCAACGGGCGGCGGCCAGGACTCGGAGAGGCAAGATGGTAGCGACACCGACTGTGGGCCTGCTACACCAACGGCTACAGCCCCAGCCAGCCCTGTCAGCCACCCCTCGCCCGCCACCGACCCTGAAACCGCATCCGTCGCTAACCCTTAACTATTATGGCACATGGATACTGAGGGTATGTGCTGCTAGATTTCACGGAGCTGAGCTCGTATCTGCCTTTGGTAAGCAGTTTTGCGTTCGGTAATGTCTGCGGTAAGCTATTTCCGTGTACGGAGGGCCGCGTCCGGACGACCATGAAACGTCGGCCCGGACTTCCCGTGCGGGGGCCTTCGAGGAGATGGCGGGTATGGCGCTTGTCAGAGCGTCCCTCGTCTGGGCTTGGCATCACACCTCTCCCATCCACGCACGTGTAGCTGCGGAAGCAAGTACTCGTAAAAACGGCACGTCAAATGCAGCATCTAAAGAAGACGACATGAATGTTCACAGAGAATGTTCAACTGTTCAGACCTTTGCGCGGGGTGTGTGTGAACAGCCATTCCGCATGGTTGAAGGTTTGAAGGGGTCTGTCAACCACTTGGTTGATGGTTGAGACCTCTGTCAACCCGCTGGTTGACAGTTGAGGCAATCGGCCTCAACCACCGCTCTCGCCGCCGCCGCCCTCTCAGCCGCCGCCCTCGCCGCCGCCCTCACCGCCGCCGCCCTCGCCACCTCCACCGTTGCCGCCTCCGCCCTCGCCGCCGCCGCCACCATCACCACCCCCGCCCAGCTTTCCTCCCCAGGTGCCAGAGGGTGCACCGCAGCGCCCTCCTCCGCCGCCATCGCCTCCACCTCCCCCACCTCCCCCACCACCTCCGTCTCCCCCGCCCCCGTCTCCTCCGCCGCCGCCCCCTCCGTCTCCCCCACCTCCATCTCCACCACCGCCGCCCCCTCCGTCTCCCCCACCTCCGTCCCCACCACCGCCGCCCCCTCCGTCTCCCCCACCTCCGTTCATAGCACCATTGCAGATGAATAGGACAAGTATGTAGGTCCAGGTCCAGGTCCAGGTTTAGGTAGGTAGGTAAGAGATATGAACAGGTCTCAGGTGCAGGTGTGAAGTACCCACAGCAGTAGATTTAGGCTAGAGCCGTTAGGTTGCGTAGAGTCAGTTCGCGTCTTGTGCTTTTATGTGTCGCTACACGAGTCTCCCGTGACACGAGAATTTACAGTAGGGCCGAGCGTTTTTGATCTCTGGGTGAGTGGGGGGCCGAGCCGCCTCGGGGTGGCGGGCGGGCGGGCGTTTTGAAAACCAGAAAACAGAAAACAAGAGGACCCGGTTGCTCTCGAGGCTGCGCTGCGCTCCTCTCGGACCTCTCTCTCCGAGCTCGGCCTGCTCTCCACCCGGGAGGGCGGGCGCCCCTCGCCCGCCTCGCGCCGCTACGCGCCCTTCCAGCTGGTGAGCAAGCCCTCCAACGCCGACGGCGGGTACGGCGTCGCCTTCTGGCTGGGCGGCGGCGAGGCGGCGGCGGAGGGCGAGGCGGCGGTGGCGCTCCCTGATGTGCACCTGCTCCAAAGGCTGGTTTGCGACCGCCGACGTCCCCCCCCGCGTGTGAACGGCGGCGCACCCCCACTCACCCCGACCTTACTCGCGGCTGAGCGAGTAGCACGCATCCCAAAACTGCGTCTCTGCCTCAAGCAACGTCTTGGTCGAGGTTAGGAGCGCCGTGTACGGAACATCCGCCTTCATGAGCACTTGTGCGGCCATCTCAACGAGGTCGTCTTGCCCGGTCGCGTGGAAGCCGTCCGTGCCGTAGGCGCATGTGCCGGCGACGCTTTCCCCAGTCGCCATGAAGTCCTCGAGGTGGTCCGACTCAATCTGCTGCTCCGCCAAGAAGTCGCCAAGACGGGCCGAGAAGTGTGCCAAGAAGTTCTTCTCAGCGGCTGTGTCGACGGCGCACATCCTCGATTTGCTCAGCCGCTGAACCAGTCCACCCCATATCGGAAAGCAGACGGCAAACGCGACAGCGGCCTCGGCTCTTCCCCCGCCGCTCGCCAACTTGTCCACGAATTCCGCGTATGCCTGGGCACCTGGCACCGGCTTGTAGTTCTTCACGGCTCTCATCAGGCATGCAACGTCGTTGCATCCGAGGAGTGCCCGGAGTTGTACCATCAACTCCGCCGAAGCATCAACTTCGCCCGCAAAGAAATAGTCGAAAAGGTCTATTTGTGGGTTGATGCGCGACTCCTCCAAGGCCTCCTCGGAGGTGGGTGCCTCTGTCGCCGCGAGCGTATCACCAGGCCCGAGAACGAATTCGGCAGATGAGACATCGGTGTCGAGGGAGTTGCCGCCTTGGTTGGCGAGGCTCGCAATTGATTGAGAGAGAGAGCGAGTCATGTGGTACTGCTCCATCGCGAAGCAGAGCTGCTGTTCGACGCTGAGGCGACCCTCCTCGGCGCTAATGAGATACGGGTGGTGAGCAAGCTTGGCCGTCATGCGCACAATGTCTTCGTCGGCGATGATGCGCTCGATGGCCTCCTTTGCCACTGCCAATGGCTGAGAGCCAAAGGCGTGGCTATGCGTTGCAGCCACGATGGTGATCAGAGCCGAGGTGCGACCCATGGTATCTGTGTGGGCCTCTCTGTGTGTGAATAGGAGGTATTTTCTTCTCAATAACAAGGCTTGTGAACTCACAGACCAGCGCACAGCGCCATAGACTATGCAAGCATATCTTGTTTTTGCTCTCGATGAATATATTAAACCGCCCCCTCTACAGAATTGAGAAGATCATTAATTAAGGTTCTTCGGGCCCCTTTAGGGGGGCAAACCCTGCCCGGCCCCTAGGACCCCAGGTAAGGCCCAGGTGTGGCCTAGGGCATCAGAAGGGACCAAGAGGAGTCCAGTCTGAGCCATAGAGCCCATGTCTTTGCCCCCGAAGGTCGCGTTCAAATGCCCGGAACGGACGTTACAGTGGTGTCCGGCCGGCGCGATCACCGAGCTGTGACGCTCAGGGAAGTCCGATGAGGTACTGGTTTCTTTGCCCAGGGCTGGCCTTCCCCCCAGGCTGGATCAGCTGAGCAAGGTTTGGGGAGAATCCTATAGTAGGATCTTCAGATATTTTGACGGATGACCAAAATCACCCCGTTTTTGCCCATTTTCGAAAATATACGCGCTAGCTCGCAAGAGGTAGAGCCGCCGGACAATCTTCCGGGCTCAAACAAATGGAGTCCAACCGTCGGGATCCAGGGCAGAGTCCACCACTCGGGCGGCGTGGTCTGGTGGCCTAGAGTAGACCAGAAGACAAACGAAATCTCGCAACCGCTCCACTGGCCGTCTAGCGTCTTGGTTAGGCCTTAGCGCCCGTCGGCCGCCGCTGGCGCCGCCGGAGCTTCGGACGGCCCGCGGTCGTCCCACTCTCGTCGTTCTCTCTCCTGTCGCTTCATCCTCTGTCGCGTCGCTCTCCTCTGCCTCGTTCTGAGACGACGCCGCCTGCCCTCGAGCGCTAGCTCGAGCGCCTGCCGCTCCCTTGCTCTCGCGGCTTCTCCCCCGCCTCTCGGCGCAGCTCCACTCTCCTCGCAGCGTATATTTTGGCCCCTCGAGTTTATCAATCTCTCCTCGCGCAAGGACGACTCTTCTGACACCCACTCCGATCATTTGCCGCCAAGTCATGTCGTTGCTCAGGTCCAATCTCGTTTTTTGGACCCACTTGTTTTTGTACCTCGCCACAGATGATCTGATTCAGATGGTGTTGGCGCTGGGGTCCCCTTCGGGTGCGTCGTGACAGCTGACGACGGGATTGCCCCACAGGTGTTTCGTCCTCTGGTTCGTCTTCCCCGGCTTCCTTCGTCCGTTAGGCTCTACGTTCAGTACGTTCCGGCGTGGCTCACCCTCCATGCCGTGAACAGGCGCCCTACTATCCATCCTATGTTGTTCTCTCGCTCCTCTGCCCGTGCCTTGGTCTTGACTCTTGTCGTTGTTTCGTACCCATGTCTGGATGGCAGTCGAAGCTGCCTTCCCCACTACCTGCAGTTCCTTCGTCGCCTCTCCTTTCTTGGTGGCGCGCGCGGGCTGTTCTTCTCAGTGCGCGCCAGTCCCGTGCCCACCCAGTGTCGTGCGAGAGAGCACTTGGAGCACTTGGAGTGCAGTCATCAACCTCACGCCCAGGACCGGGGAGCTAAAAAGAAAGAAAGAAAACAGTCAAACCAAAACGAGGGATGGGAGGAGGACAAACAAGGTCCCCACCTGCACGAGCAGGATCTGAAAGGACGATCAGGGACACGGGGGAACGGGAGTGGGGGGAGCGCATCGCGACACGGAGGGGGGCTGGGCAGGGTTCACCCACACGACAGGGTCCCAGGGATTCCTCTCTCGTATAGGACGGGTACCGGGGAGCCAGATAGGCGATAAAATACACACCTCTCACCACATAATTTTAAACGTCGCACGACACTGGGCACGGGACTCGCGCGCACTGGCACTCGTAAAAGAATTTGCGCGCCGCGCACGCACATCACTGGGAATCCCTGAGGAGAGCGACGCGACAGAGGAGGAAGCGACAGGAGGGAGAACGACGACGAGAGTGGGACGACCGCGAGGTGGCATAGGATGCAGCGAGGTGTCGGCCGCCGGTTTATGCTACGGACTGATCAATCAGTTCACTATACCGTGACTGATCCCTGCGAACAGCAATGCACGCCGAGACGTATGTGGCGAGCGCGCCACGATCCGTCCACCGATCCGGCCGATGGCCGAGACCGCCATTTACCGGGGCGCGTAAGGGGTTAAAGATGCCCTGCAGGCATATTCAAGATGCGTTGCGTTTTCCCTATTGAAAGTCGCGACAAATGTCCCTCGTCCAGCCTGCAGCATGGCGAGGCGCGAGAGCGCAACGCGGTCGCGGTGGCGCACCGAGAGGGGCCGCCTGGCCACCGCTGCCACGGCGCCGCACGGACTTCACCCACTTTCGCGACTGTGGCCATCCAACAGTCTGCCGGCGCGGCGGGCGCATTCGAATGCGCCGGCCGCGCCGGCAGACTGCCAGTGCTTGCTATCCCGGGCGCACGTCAGCCGCGAGGACAGCGCTGCATCGCCGCCACAGCAACGCCTCCCCCGCATGGCCGCCGCCAGCAATGCCGCCGCCAGCCGCCGCGTCCAGCCGCCGCCGCCAGCTGCCGCCAGCACTGCAGCGACAGCCCTCTGCTGCCCAGGCGCCGCCGCGGCCACGAGTGTCACCGCCACGTCCCACGAGTGCCACCGCCGTCAGCGTCGCCATGGCCACTGCCGCCGCCAGGGGGGCGAGAGAGGGGCTCCATATGTGTGTATGAGGTGTGTGTCTGGAGGCTGTCGCTTCCTGTACAGGAAACGCAGGTATTTCGAATAGCAAACGCGCTTATAGCTGCAGGGCATCTTTAACAGATACTTGACTCTCCATGGAGGTTGAGGTATTTTTTTCTTCTATCTGTGTCGGCCGCCGGTCTTCGGCGCAGGCAAGCTCAGGCTAAGCTCATGGGCGACGAAGAGAAGCGGGTAACGCGGCGATGGAGCGCCACGCCGTCGCAACCGACGCCCGTCCTGCCCGCCATTGCCGGGTTCACCGCGTGCGGCGCCCTTGCGATGGGCTTTGGCGCCGGGTACGGGTCGCGCTCCTTCCACCAGTCCGAGGCGTATAAGGAGCTGCTGGAGAAGTTCCCGGACCGCCCGACCGCCGAGATGGAGGCGTATGCGCGGCGCGTCGGCGGCCGCGCGCTGCTCGCGGGCACCGGGCTCGCGGCGCTCATGGGCGTGGGGGCGGTCGCCACGGCGCGTGCTTATGGCATCACCACCGCCGCGCAGTTTGGGGAGGAGGTGCGGCGGTGGTTCCCGACGACGGATGTGCTGCGTGAGGGCGTCGAGAATTCGCCGCTGCAGCCGCTCCAGCGCAAGCTGTCCGCCAACCTGCAGACCGCGCGCGACTCTGCGGGAGGGGCCTACCAGCAGTCGAAACTCGGCCGAAAGCGAGCCTCGCACCGCCCTGGCCCCACCGCCACTCCACCCTGCCTCTCCTCCTTCCCTCGCCCTCCCCTCCCTCTCCGTTGCTCTCCCCTCCTCCATTCCTCTCCTCTCCTCTCTACGGTCGCCTCCCCCTCTGGTCCCTCCCTACCCCTTCCACTCCTCCCTCCTCCCTCCCCTGGGGTCGCTGCCCGCCTTTGCCCCTCCAGCCCGCCCTCGCTGGGACCGTACCTGGGCCATTTCCCGCCACACGCCGCAGCTCGCCCGCCCGTCGGAGTCCGCCGCTCCCCTCCCCCCCCCCCCCCCACACACACACAAAGCCGCAGCCTCTCACCACGGGTCCTGCCTGCCGCGCCGCGCAGGCTGAGCGCACAGGCGCAGGCGAGCAGCGAGAAGGGGCAGGCCAAGGTGGAGAAGGCGATGCAGCCGTGGGAGAAGGAGCTCCTCGAGAAGCTGCGCGAGCTAGAGGCGGAGGATGCCGCCAAAGCCAAGAGGGCGTCGTGAGGGGTGGCGAGGAGGGAGGGGGAGCTGCACTCCCCCAAGAGAAGGGAGAGAGGGGGGAGGGAGGTAGGGGGGGTCGACGGGAGAGCGTCGGCCGCCGGGGGTTGCTTGGCCTCCTCCCGCCGCCGCGCGAGGAGAACTCCGCGGGGCTTTTGTCCGCTGTCCGCTCTAGTCTCTGTGCACACTGTGTGTCCCTACCTAGTGGCCTGTGAGATGTGACTGTGGCTCTCGTGGCTCGCGTGCGATTCTAGTCTCGCTCCGAGCAGCATGGTGTGGAGGTCTTGCTTGTGCGCGTGGAATACATCCGTGCTCTAGTACTTTCAAGGCTAGACCCAGTCCCAGGGATCGAAGAAGAATGCAGCTAGAGATTTCACAGACCGGGCGCTGACAGAGAGTGAAACTGACTACTGAGAGAGAGAGAGTCTACTCAGAGGACAGACACAGCGAGAGCGGTGGAGCGCGTGCGAAAATGTGCGCTCTCGAAGCGAGGGGCACGACGACGCACGTGTGCTGAGTGTGAGCCGTGACGAACCGGCGTGGCAGCGTGGCAGCGAAGGCTGACCGCCACTGCAGCATGTCCGCCTGCTAGGTCGCCTGCTGGGAGCTGGAAGAGCTTGAGAGCAGGCAGAGCTCACGTCTTTGCCCGGGGCCAATGTACGAGCGTGAAGTGGTGGCAGCTGGAGCAAAAGGAGCTTCAGAGCTGCGTCGCGCACAAAACCACCAGAGAACGCGGTTTGTTCTCAGTCTCCTCGCGCCACACGAGGGCCGGCCGCTGTGCACTTTGCATGAGCACTACTACTCCTCCTCCAGCTTAGCTGGGGAGGTTCGACAGCACACTATTATGCTCATCGCGAGTGCGCCTCCACTGATCAACATAGCAATGATTGACAAAACGAAAGCGGCGACGCTCAGTCCATTTGCCTGCGGTGCAGGGCAGCACTCAGCTATGCCCAGCCGCCCCTGCTGCTCAGCCCGCGTGCCGCTCAGCCAGAGCCCATGTGCGACTAGGGCATCTTTGACCTCTCTGCTGCTGAGCAGCAGGACGCGCGTCCAACAAGCCTCAGTGCACGGCATGTGTAGCGACAGTCCCAGTGCCGCGGGGACGCACGTTTGCAACCTGCATGACCCGCTCGATGCGTGCTCCGCAATGAAGTTTCGCCTCGGAAGTAGCGCCGTGTTGATACCACGCATCGGCCACCTTCGTGCCGCGGAGACCTTCCGGCATCGCGCAGACGTATCAAAGTGGTGGTGGATGATCCGAGCACCGAGGCGGGAACAAATGTTGTAAGTGCGACAATGGTCATTTGGCCTTTGTCGGCGCGGTTGATTTCCTTCACCAATCGAGAGGCTGTGCGAAATAGCGGAGCAGAAGAATGTGACTGCGCCGCGGCTCAAGAGTGCTGTGATGTCACCCGTGCGATGGCGCTCTACTACTCGGTGGTGCATTGCGGGTTATCTCGGTCTGCTTCTCGAGGAGGCATTTGGTGTTACAACATCTAATACGGCTCAGCATCATGGCGGCCGGCACGACGCTCCGTCCTCCTCCTGCGGCCGGGCGGTTCGCCGGTGAGGACGACGATGAGGACGCAGGCGACAGCATCCCTGACCGGTTGGAAGGGCCGCGGTGGGCACGCATCATCGTCCGCCGGCTGATGCTCGAGATGACCTTTGTCCTCGCCTTCACGTCGCCGTCGTCTTTCAGTGCAGCCCGGCTAGTCCTTCACCAACCTCGTGCTATTTTGCCCTTTGTGCCTCTCCGACGGGCGGCCTGCAACAGCAGCTCAGGGGGTGCTACTAGACAAGAGCCCCGCGGGCATCGACGCCGAGATGCTCTCCACCACCTTATTCCTGCTCATCGGCATCCCGATCTTAAGAGCTGCTATGTCGCGCGTGGTCGACTGGCTGATCGATAGGTAAATTCGCGCCGTCCCGTTCTTCCGGCGGCCTTAGCGAGGCAAAGGCATCTGCGGTCAAAGGGCTGAGGCTACGGCTGGCAAGCCTCCCCTCGACGAACAGACGAGAGGGAGCAGGCGTGCACCAAGGCTGCTTTGCGGCACAACTGGCGGAGGAGGAGGCGGACGAGAGGCGGCGGAGGTGCAGGCGAAGGCGGAGAGCGCGGCCCAGCGTGGTGGAGAAGGAGGGAGCAGAGGCGGAGGAGGAGGCGGCGTGGCGGCAGACCACAGAGGCGCGCTGCAGCCTGTGCACACACGGCGCGCGAAGGTGAGCGCGCTCACATGCTGGGGATCTATGGCTCGCGTCAAGCGCTGCCCTCAGCTTTCAGCGAGTCGCCGTGGAATCAGTCATGGGTAGGTTTGGGACATACCTTTTGGCTAGACTACACAAGCGGAATGGCCTCGGTTCGACTCGGTTTCCGTCTCTCCACACGTCGATCTTGTACCCGCGGCCCGCTGGCGCGCACTGCCGCGCGCACACACATCTCGACACACAACCCTCTCGATGATCTCGTGGCCAAAAGTCGCTGCCGTACCGATAGGTGAGGCGGAGAGGTGCACGTCAGGCCTTTGGCCCTGCGTCCACGCTCACACTAACATCTCCCGGCAGCTGGAAGGAGAATACTCGGTGCTCTGGCGGCGAAGCTGGCGGCGGCGGGGACGGCGGCAGCGGCGGCGGCGGCGGCGGCAGCGGCGAGGGCGGCGGCGGCGGCAGCGGCGGCGGAGGCGAGTCTGACTTCCGCTCCGCAATCACGTGGTAGTCGCCCATCAAAGACCTGCGTAGACCGACAGCCGCGCCGCCAGGGAGGAGCACAGCGATGACGGCGAGCAGCAGAAGAGGGAGCATGCTAGCAAGCCTGCGCTTCTGCACGACGGGCGGCGCCGTGAGCATGACAAGGAGAGGGGTAGGGCTTACTCCGAAAAAAAGAATGCGCGCCGCGCCGAAAACGAAAAAGAGAGGAATCGGATACATGAAACCAGTTGACGCAGTGGCAAGTACGCATCTTGCGCGCCTGCTTGTTATCTTGTCGGCGTCGCCCGCCACCGCCGCCATGGAGATCTGCTCAAAAGAACAAAAAATTAATTTCTTGCAAACTAAAACCAAAGAAAAAGAAATGAAGCGGCGCGGAGCCCAGGCTTCCTTGTCATTGCGTCACGGGAGCTTGGCCGACCTTGTTCGCATGTTGGTGGCGCTGGCTTTGACTGCTGCGTTCGCCGCTCAGAACCTCGACACCGAACCGCTTCTGGCTTATTGTAAGAAGCCGTGGTGGAATCCCATCTCATCCTGCGTCCCATCCAACGATGTCGCCAGGAACGTGGGCTCGGCCAGCGAGCGCTCTGCTGCTGACATTGTGTCCTTCGACCTCAACCGAACGACCACGCAGTCAGTGTACCGCAACACCACGCTCATCGCTGCCCTCAGGGCAGTTCTGAAGCAGCCAGGGAGTGCCACCAGACCGCCACCCAAGGAAGAAGGCCGGCGCCTTGAGATTGAGTCGGTCGGCAGCGTTTCTCGGCAGCTCTTCGGGCCAGACTCGCGGAGGCCGGTTGGGTGCTCCGATTCGGAGGCTGGGCCGTTTCAGATGATGGTACGTCTCTCCACCGGTTGCTCTGGCGTGATGGTTGGTTCTCGCCACGTCCTCACTGCCGGCCACTGCGTGTACAGCTGGTACGACGCCGCCGGCAACGAGCTCAAGAATAAGGGGTGGAAGATGGACGCGAACAGGAAGGTCTTCGTCGGATATTCACGCGAGTGGGGTTGCCCCACCGGCGCGCCGTCGGGCACAGGCACCCTCTGGGGCTCCGACGTGGACGGCGTTCAGACGGTGCGCTGGGTCGAGGCGATCAGCATGATGACCTACACTGGCTTTGTCGAGAGTGGCGACGCCGAGTACGACATCGCGTTAATCGAAGTGAAGAACCGTCCCGAGACGCGCCGGTCGGCGTCGGCGGCGCTGACGGGACTGCCTTGGATGACGTTTGGCTTCTACTCGAACCCGAGCTACAGGTGGACGTGGTGCACGGCGGGGTGGCCGGGCGACCTCTCGCCGCCGCTGCAGCTGCACGCCGAGTGCTCGCGCGACAAGGTGCAGGACATCGAGGGGAAGCTCTTCGAGATGGAGCTCGACGGCGCTCAGGGACAGTCCGGGTCTCCCCTCTGGCCGGCACTCTCACCTCCGCAATCCAACGGCGGCCACGGGGCCATGTTCAGCGACAAGCTGGAGGCGGGGCCGGCGCAGGGCGTCTTCGCGCTCCTCTACCAAGAGGTGTTCTGGTTCTTCGGGTGGTGGGTCATCAACGAGTCCAACGACTTTGCTCGCATCGACGCCAACCGGTTCGTCTCTCTCTGCGCGTGGATCAGCGACCACGTCCGCGCGGGCGAGTTCAACCCCTGCGCGGGCGTGCTCTGATCTCGAGCTGGGCTCTACGAGTTCAACTCCGGATTCCGCCCTCGCCACGCGGTGGGGCTGTCGAATAACACGCATCGGAGAGCTGAGAGAGCTGAGAGAGGCATGCGGGCCGCGAGGCTAGGTTCGGGCAGAGGCGGAGCCGCGAGACCCCTGTCGCCATGTGATGGTGTGGGCGTGTGTGGCGTGGGGCCTTCGGGTTCGGCGCCGAGCTCCCTGGCCACAGGAAAAGTCGGTTCGTACGTAGATCGTAGTAGGTGAGGAGAGTGTGTCTCGCTGTCCTCGTTTTCGTGTGTAAAGGGCTAAAGGCTCTTTAGCCGTACGCTCGCCGTTGCGATGAAAAGAGAGATACCTGTACTCTGTATGTGACGATCTGTGTACCATGTGTACTCGCATGCAACACCAATTGTTGTGTTTGTACGCGTGAGAGTCGACGTATAAATCTCAATCACGCCTTCGCACTAGCCAAGTCCAAAGTCGCATCCTTCACCACCTCCTCCTCCTCGCCGCGCACCTCCTCCTCGTCGCACTCCGAGCCCTCCTTGGCCGTGCTGCTCGCGTCGAGGTCTACCTTGAGCGGGTAGGCGCGGTTGAAGCTGCGCATCACCTGCTCACACCACCGGTGGTGTGAAGAGACGGCGCCCCACGCTATGGGGGCTGCGAGCGCGGTCTGGAGCGTCGCAACGCACCATGCCGGTGAGCCACGCCAGGAAGGCGTCCTCGATGCACGAGGGGAGCGGCAGCCGCGGCGTCCCCATGGCCACCTCGATGTTCCAATCGATGACCGGCGGCGCGTCCTTCTTGAAGGCGAGCTCGATCGCGCCGTCGAAGACGTCCCACCTTGTGAGACGCGCGCCGAGATCTAGCCGAGGTCTAGCTTCTAGTCGAGATGTAGATGAGATCTAGCCGATCTGCCGTGACACCCCGGGTACTCTCGGGTGCTCTCGGGTGCTCTCGGTCCTTCTCGGGTGCTCTCGGCGAATCTCGCGCACCAGGCGAGCGAGGACGTGTCGACCCGCAGGCTGCGCAGCTCGAGCGTGCCGAGAGAGGGGAGTCCGTTGTGCCCGCGCGCAAAGAGGACGAGCCGCGCCTAATCTCGGGTGGGTGATCTCGCGTGATCTCGGGGCAATCTGACGCCCGGCACACGCGGAGAGGACGAGTCGCGCGTCGTTGTCTTTGACGGCGACGGTGGAGGTGTAGCCGCCCAAGCTGCGCACGTCGTCTCCGAACAGCTCCTACAGACAGACCCGCCAGCACTGCATGCACTCCGCCCACTCGTGATCGGGCTTGCAGTCGCTAGAGAGCTCCTCGCGGCTGTCGAACCGCACGGCGAAGTCGAGGTCGAGATCGAGGGCCAGCACCTCGTTTGGCTTGTCGCGCATCGCGCGCGGCATAAAATCGGGCGGGTAGTCGATATCGAGCGACGCCTAGGATTGAGTCTCGACTAAGCACTAGCACGAGTGCAGGAGGGGGGGGGGGGGGCGCTCGGTGTCGGGCGCGCGCCTTGAGCCGCCGCGGGAGCGCGCGCTGAAGGCACTTTGCGAGTAGCGGCGAGTAGGAGGCCGCGAGGTGCCTGGGCGGGGCAATGGCGAGGTGATCGCACCCCCCCACACACACAATGCTGGGGCAAGGAGCCTCAGGCATCCCACCTCGCATCTCCATGTCCTGAGTCAGGCGCGAGCTAGGCCGGGAACCCCACGGCAATTAGAGTGCAAGGGCGGGTGCGCGTGAAATGGGGCGAAGCGTGCGCCTGTCGGCGGCCTCCGTCACAAGGTCGTCCTCGGCCGCCTCCCTGGCCTTCTTCCACCCCTTAGGCGGCCTGACGATCCGCGGCTCAATCCGGACGGCCAGCCTGCGAGACGAGTACACACGAAGTCAGCTGACTTAGGGGGCGGGCGGCGCGCGCGGGAGTCGCAGGGACTACGAGAGCTGCACGGAGGCCCTCTCGCTCACTCGGCATCTAGGACGGTGAACCGCTTGATGATCCCTCGCGCGGACACGGGCGGCGGCTTCTCTCCGAAGGCTGGAGGCGCGCGCGAGCACTGCTGCGGCAGGCAGCCCGCAGCGCCGACCCTCTCGTACCGCGCGGCGCCTGCCTCGCCGACCTTTCTCCGCCAGAGGCGGCCCTCGGCATCCATGCGCAGCACCTCGAGCGAGTAGTTGGCGAGCAGGCCCTCGTCGCCGAGCGGCATCGGCACGCCCGAGTTGTGGATGGCGGACATCGTCCGCTGCACCTCTCGTCGGATCGGCGTGAGATAGCGAGGGAGCAGCGCCTTGAGAAGAGAAGCGGAACATCAGCGCGGGGGCGCCGCGCGTTGGGGAGAGGTGTTGGGGCAGGGAGCGCAGCGCCTTCAGCACGAGGTTCACCAGCGCCACCGACGTGCGGAACAGCTTGATCAGCGCCCGCCGCCTCATCGCCGCGCCCGGGCCGCTGGCGCCGGAGAGCGCCATCACCACATTCGCGCAGGCCGTGCCACCCGCCGCGCCCATCTTTACGAGCCGGTCCCGCATCACCTTCAGGCCAGCGCTGTCGCACGCCCTGTCCGCCGCGTCGAGCATGGCGAGCCAGACCGTGGAGCTGCAGCGCCGCACGTTGGCCTGCACGCGAGTCGCCGCCCGATCGGTAGCGCTGACGGCCGCCTTGGTCGCGGCCTTTGCCGCTCCTTTTGCCTTCTCCGCGCTGCCCTTTGCTGCCTTCTTCACCGTTGCCGCGCCGGTGCTAGCTCTCTTCTTTAAGCCGGCGAACGGCGATTTTGGCGAACGGATGGGCGAACGGATTGACGCCGGCGCGCTCGCCGGCAACGGAGGCGAGGAGGCGACCTCTGTCATCACTGGGGTGAGGAGACGAGCACTCGACAGGGGCGTGCCGCAGCTGCAGCCGGAATCAGCAATTCACAGGCGCCGCCTTTGGGAATTCTTTTGGGCCCTAGCTGGAATCTCGAAAAGAAGCGCCATCGTATCAATAGCCCTGCTGGCGCCCCTCTAAATCACGGCTTGACGTCATTGACGTCCATCGCTATGCCATGCAGCCCCATCACGAGCAGGTCGCTGTAGATGAGCACCGCAAAAGCCGTCTCCAAAAAGACGGAGTAGTAGGCGAGGGCCTGCGACGTCGCCCCAAAGAGCGTGAGGGAGCCCTGCACGCTGATAAAAACCACGCCGGTGCACAGCTCGAGCACCATGATGGTACCGCGGAGCCACTGGTCCAAGTTGAGCGGCAGCAGGTCGCGCGGCGGAGCGTGCTCCGCTGGCGGGCCGCAGAGGCACTGCCGCCACGTCGCGCACGCGCGGCGAAAGACATTCTCGCCGTAGTGGAGCTGCGCCAGCTCCATGCCGACCATGGTGCCATAGCCAACCATCGCACCAATGTTGTGCATCATCATCAGTATGAAGTCATACCCGCCCGCATCGGCGGGGCTTGGCACGACCGAGACGACCGCGGTGCAGAGCGTGCCCACGACGAGCCACACGAAGCGCAGCTTGCCCTCAGACGAGTCCATCCATTGCCGCCCGCTGTCACTGAGCCAGCGGCGCGGCAGCCAGAATGGAAACTCCGAGACGAGGAGCGCGATGGAAGAGAGCAGGATGCAGGCGAGGAACACCTGAGGCGGATCAGCACAGTGAGGGCGGCCGCGCCGGCAAGAAGGGCGGCGGGCGGCTGGAATGGCGCACCCTTCCCGTGGGCGTGTTGAAGTCGGAGGATAGGTTCGAGACGGTGGCCTTGATGAAGAAGTCATCGGGGATAAGCTCAATCACCTTCTCTAGCCCCGTGCACGAGTCGGGCGCCCTCGGCGGGTTCAAGAGCGCTATATGGCCATCCTGCCACTCGGTGCAGATTTCGTGCGTCATCACAGGTACAATGACAAGCCTAAAGCGAAGAAACCGCTTATGCTGGTGGCGACTGTCGTGTTCGCGTGCCCTCTTGCTTGCCACAATGCGCAACGCCCAGACACATGCCATCTTGCGCATCTAGGAGGACGGGCAGTGGCGGCAGAAAGGCCAGGTACGCGAGTAACGCGCCCGCGGTGCAGAGCCATGCGCTGCGGCGGCGCATAAAGAGGGTGATCGATTTGAACGAGTGGAGCGGAAGGTCTTCGTCTGCGAGCAGCGAGCGTGTCGACTCTTTGTCGAGGCGCTGCCATTCCAGTCCACGAGCACCGTACGCGTGAGCCGCACCGTCATCGTCGTTTGGTCGCTTGTCGTGGGGTGATTTCGGGTCTCTCTCCAGCGAGCGGATCGTGTCTCGAATCGAGGGAATGGCCGCACGGCCGGGAGAAGACTCCTGCTCGGGCATATTCCGTCCGTATCGTTGCGGGTCCCTTTTCATATATAAAACAGAGTGACTTTTTTTAGAATAACTAGGTGCCGGCGATTCAACACGCAGACCCCTCAGCTCAACACCTCAAACCCGGCGGGCACGTGACCGAAACGATTGGGGGGCAAAGCAGCAGCATTGTGTGGCGGCGACCACTCCACTGCATAGCAGCTTGGCGCGTAGCGTGCCGCGCCCACTCCACTGCATAGCAGCTGGCGCGTAGCGTGCCGCGCTCCTTCAGCCCTCGCCCGAATGGTGGCCTCTCGGACCGTCTCCGCCTTCTCCGTCGGATGCCTCCTGCTCGCGGCGGAGGCGCTGGTCCCCTCGACGTCTGCTCCGGCCGTGCCCGCCACGCCCGAGGTTGCGGTGGGCATCCGTCGGCTGCCTCGCCTGAAAGCCCCAACGGTCGCGGCCTGCAGGCGCGCGACGCACGCTATGTCACTCACCACCCAACCCAACTCCGCGCTCTTCGTTTGCGCTCCTCCCCCCTCTCAACGCGGCGGAAATTTGCTGCCAGCTCGTCTCTGCTCTCTCTCTCTCTCGCTCTGGCATGGCTTGTGATGGACCTCCCCACGGGATGAGTATCAAAATTGAACTTGTATAGGGGCTTTATACTAACTCGCTGATAGCATGCTTCATGTGTGCCAAGCCGCAAGCGGACTGTGAGCGACGAGAGATCTCAGGCGAAGCCCGAGACATACGACTCCTTTTTGGGTGGCGGCGCAGGCGTGGCCTCCTCCCCCTCGGTCGGAGAGGCGCTCCCCTCCCGCTGCGGCACCTCCGAGTCGCTCTTTCGCAGGCTCGCCACGCACTGCGGCGCCGGCAAAGACCAGTCGCCCATTGGAGAGATGAAGCGCGAGACGCTCTTGAGCATGGCCATCATGCCGGGCACCTCGTCCTCATCCTGCGCCTGCGCCTGCTCCCGCACCTCCACCTGCGCCTCTACCTGCGGCTCCACCTGCGGCTCTGCCTGCACGTCCATGCCCCGAGCCTTCACCTCTCCGGCGTCACTCGCGCCGGGGGTGCTACACTCGCTCTCGGCATCCGGCGTGCACGGCTCCAGCTCATTGCGGAAGGAGGAGAGCACGGACTCGCGCGCGGACTGCACCTCACGTGCATGAGAGTTGTGCGAGGAGCAGGAGGAGCCCATGGGAGTTGGTTGCGTTGTTGCGAAGGGACGCGCGCTAAGTCCTTGGCTGGGTTGCTTGGAACGTATCCGTGAATTAAAGGGAGAAATTTAATTGATTCTGCAGAGGCCGATCCCCACGGGGCGGGTTTCGTACTTAGGCATTTCTTGTCGGTTTTCAAGCTGCCGGGCGTACGGGTCTGTCGTGCCACAACATGCATCGCAATAAATACTTGTTTGTTTCTCGATTGGGGCGGCGATTGTGGTTTTCCCTCTGCTGCGCCGGACACACTCGCCGCCATTCTCGAGCCTCCCGGCGGTGGTTTTCTGGCGTTTTGTTTGGATACCGTATTGGTATTCGAACTGTGTGTGTGGACCCGCACACCGCACACCCCTGCTCGGCCGCAAGGGGACAATAGGGCCTCGCCGCCTGCAAGTGCGGCCGCGCAGTCCGGCGGGTTGCGAACAAGGCTGACCGCGCCAGCCGCCCCCGCCGGTAGGCCGGCGGTGGCGGGCTCTCGGCCCATCCGGGCTTGGCGCGTTCCGGGGAAGACGCCCTTTTGGTGAGGTACTCGACGTGCTCGCCTCTCCTCGTCACCTGCCCCGCCAGCGGGCACGCGGCGGCGGCGGCGCGGAGTCGTTCGTCGGCGACGCGCTCGGCGGCGGCGAGGGTATCGGCGTAGGCGACGCCCTCAGCCTTGGTCCCGTAGGGGCCGTCCCCGTCCTCGTCGGAGGAGTACTCCCTCCCGTGTGCCGGCCCCGTCGGAGGCGGGTAGGCAGGCTCTTGGGTGACGGGGTCTGGTGGCCCCCCGGGAGCGGCGGCGCCCGGCATGTGCGCGGACACCGCGCTCGCCTGCTCGCTCGACGCCGCCTTGTCCTCGCGGTCCGCGCTGCCCGGCGCCAGACCCGCGTGTGCGCTCGAGCTGCCAGCGGCGGTGGGGCTGAGGCGCGGCGGGGTGACGGGCGTGGCCCTGGGATGTGAACCTCCTCCACATCCGCCTCACGGTAACGGCCGCCGCAGAAGACAGGCATCTCCGTGTGCAACCGTTCTGGGTTCGCCGAATTCAGGAACCTCCATGCGACGTGCCACGAGTCATCGACCGGCTCGACGGGGCCGCCACACCAGTCCCCCAGGCAGTACTGCACCCTAGCCGACCACACCGGTCCCCACACGCGCAGCAGCGGAGGTCGTCGCCATCTTGCCAGTGGTACGCGTACTCGGGGCCCTCGTAGGTCTTGTCTAAGGGCCAGTTGCACTCCGGGCATTGCTCGGCATCGCTGGGGACGCGGTCATGGCCGCACCGCGCGCATGGTGGCCGCGGCGTGGCCGGGGAGGGCGGCGTGGTGTCTGCTTCCCCCGCAGGGCCAGGGGGGATGGGCTCGGGTGGCGACGGTGGCGCCGACGGCGCCGGCTGCGCGCCGCCTGACGGTTGTGGGAATGAGTAACCTTCCGTCGGCGCGGCGAGAGGGGTGGGTGGTCGCGCGGCTCCAATCTCGGTCGGGCCATGCTGGTCGGACGGGAGGTGGGCATCCACTTGGTCGGGGGCGTCGCTCCCGGGGAGGCTCCTCCAGACACGATGGCGGAGTTTGAGTGCCTCCAGACACGAAGGAGTTTGAGAGTGCCTCCAGCGAGCGAGTTCTTTACCAGGTTGCAACCCTAATCTCGCACTGCGCTGTGAACGCTGCTGGTTGGCGTCGGAGGTCGGTTGCGCAGCACCCCGTCCCCATCCAGGTCGTTGGTTGCTGCCCCAAGCCCCGCACTATGTAGTACAAGGCCCCGTTCTCTGGATCATGCTTGTTGGGGTACGTGGTTCGCCCGTCCCTGTGTCCCGTCCACGTCGCCCGTCGGCAAAGCCGGACGACCTATGGTGCCGCTCGATGCTGCTGCGGCGTTGGCGATGGGGCTTTCTGCACGCGGTCCCGGCGGGCAGGCGTGGTACTTCAGCCGCGCGGAACTTCCGCACTCCCTCCGTTTTCAAAAATCTCTCTCTCCCTCCCTCCTCACTCAGTGAGCTACGAACGCGCGTTCACAGCGCGAATTTGGCCCCAGCTCTTCGGCTCGCTCCGCTCGCCGGCGAGTTGGTTGGTTGCTGGCAGCACCCCAGCACCGGGGGGTCCTGAGAGCTGTTGGTTGGTGCTCTGTTCACAGCACAGTGCGAGACTAGGGTTGCAACCTGGTTGGTAAAGAACTCGCTCGCAGACACGAGTTTGGATGCCGTACGTATTTTGGTATTCGAACTGTGTGTGTGGACCCGCACACCGCACACCCCTGCTCGGCCGCAAGGGGACAATAGATATAGGGCCCCCGCCCGTGGCGTTTTAGAGAGAGAGAGAGAGAGCTTTGCTACATCATGGTTGTGTTTGTTGTCCTCTCTCTCTCTGTCTCTGGCGCTCACGCTCCTCTCAGGCGCTCCCGCTCCTAGTCGGTGCGTTCACACCGACACCTCGCCGCCCACTTGCCACTTCACACCCTCTCCCGTCCAACGCCTGCTACGTACCAGCCACGCGCAGTAAAGATGCCAGGACGACGACGACAGACACCTCAGACCAGAAGTTCAGCCTTGCACAGCGGGCGCCGCCCGGGCAACAGCGTCTTCTCCGCAAGGCACACAGGCTGCCCTCGTAGGGGCGAGCGCGGCTCGCGCGCGCGCGCGCCGTGCCGGGGCCGGCCGCCTGCCTGCCGCCCCCCGCCGCCCCGCGCACCCGCGCCCACAGCGGGGGTCGCCGCGCGCAGCGGACGGCGCGCCGACTCGGCTTGCGCGCAGAGTTTTGACACAGTTTCGCGCGCGCGCAGGTGAGCTGCGAACGATGCTGGCTGCTGTATCTGCGCTCCCTCTCGGTGCCCCGGCGTCGGGGCCCGCTGCTTCTCCGTCGCAGATCCTCGTCCTCGGGATGCACCACGCGGGCACGTCGATCGTCGCAAACTTGACCATGATGCTGGGCGCCAACGGCGGCGCGCGCGAGGAGATGCTGCTGCACCCATCCAATCCGCTCAAATACTGGGAGCGCGCCGACGTGGTCGGCCTCGACGAGGAGCGGCTGGCTGCGGGCGTGGATGCGGCCGCCGCGCGCTACACTCTGCCTGACTGGGTGGCGTACGGCTTCGATGCCGACAAACCAGCGACCAAGGTGCACTCGACGGCGGAGGCGAAGGGCGTCGTGGCAAAACTCAACGCCCAGCGTCCGTGGGTGACAAAAGACCCGCGCATGTCCCTCGTCGCCTCGGAGTGGGTCGAGCTGCTCGACGCGCCCGCCTGCGTCATCGTGCACCGCGAGCCCCTCTCCATCGCCAACTCGATGATGATCTACTCGCACAATGTCTCGTACGCCGAGTGGGCAGCGGTCTACGAGGCGTACTATGGCGGCGTCGCGCGCGCCTGCGCCAACGTGCCAACCGCCGTGGTCCACCACGAGCAGCTCATGGCGCAGCCGTACGCCGCGCTGACAAAACTGCACGCGGACCTCTCCGCCCTCGGTGTTGAGCGGCTCACCATGCCCACCGAGGAGCGCATCAACGCGCTTCTGCGCCCGTCGCCCAAGAAGCCGGTCACCTACCTCGCCTCGGAGCGCAAGGCGCGCCCGACCCCCCTCCCCCCGCCCAGACCAGACCGCACACGCCCCGCCCCCCCCCCCCCCCTCTCACCCCCCCTCCTCCCCCCCCCTCCCCCCACTGCGCAGGTGCTCGGCGCGGCCGCGCCGGCCCTCTCCGACTCCATCTCGCGCGGCGAGGTCGTGAGCCGCCCCGCTTCGCCGTGGCTCTTCAAGCCGCTGCGCAAGTCGCAGGCCTACGCCACCCTCCTGACGACGGACAACGCCGACTACTTCCGCGGCGCCCTCGTGCTCGGCTCCTCGATCCGCTCCTTCGACTCGGCGCGCGACATGGTGTGCCTCGTCACGTCGTCGGTGCCCGAGGAGTGGCGCTCCGCCCTCACCGTCGCCGGCTGGACCGTCGCCGTCGTCGACGAGGTTGCCGAGTTTTGGTTCGGAAAGTCGGAGGAGTGCTCCAGGTTTGACAAGGACCAGGGCGAGCGGTGGGGCCACATGGCCACCAAGCTGCGGCTGTGGCAGCAGCTCAAGTACGAGCGCATCCTCTACCTGGACGCCGACACGGTCCTCACCGGCGACGCCTCGGGCGCCTTCGACAAGGTCAAGGGTTTCGCCGCCGAGCGCGCCCGCTTCCACTCGTACTTCAACGCGGGCGTGATGATGCTGTCGCCGTCCGAGGCCACCTACCAGGACCTGCTCGCCGAGGGCAGCAAGGAGCACAAGAACAAGTTTGGCAACGTGATCGACTGCACCGAGCAGGCCCTCCTCAACTCGTACTACGACGGTTCCACGCCCGAGCGTGGCGTCACCAAGCTCGCCATCGGCCGCGCCGACGTGGCCAACGACTGGCAGGCTGCCGGCGCGCCCTTCGCGGTGCACTGGATCACGCACTCGTGCCCCAAGCCGTGGGTGGTGGCCGACGGCGAGGTGGCGGTGCCGTCCGACTGCGACGCGGTGGTGTACGCCTACTGGAAGCGCGTGTGGGACCGCCTGACCTCCTCGGCCACCGACGAGTCCTCCAAGGGCAGCTTTGGCAGCCGGAACGGCGCGCGCCGCATGCTGCGCCGCCTCTCGGGCGTCAGCGCGGGCCACTCGATGGCGCACAAGCCGACGCTCTCGGAGCTCGCCTCGGACGTGCACACGAGCATCGGCCGCCAGCTCCGAGAGGTGATGGCCTCGAGCCGCCACGGCCACTCGCGCATGCTCCGCCGCCGCCGCTGGAAGCGCGACGCTGAGTACGACTCGGGCTGGGGCGAGAACACGATCGCGTGGATCGCGATCATCGGCACGCTTCTGCTGGGCCTCGGCGCGGGCGCGCTCCTGCACAAGCTCTTCATCAAGGCGCCGGTCGCCGTCTCGAAGAACATGACCGTCGTCCAGGCCAAGCGGATGGGCTTCCAGGCGCTGGGCGAGGGCAAGGGGCCCGTCGGCGTCGTGAGCGCGGTGGACGACGACGACGACGAGGAGGAGGAGGAGGAGGAGCCGGTCAAGAAGTAGGGGGGGCGCTAGGGTTGCCCGCACCCGGCGGCCCGGCCAAAAGACGCGCCGGGCGGTGCGGGCTTTTGACAGGCTTTTGATTTGAGACCATATGGAGATGGCTAGTGGCGCGCGGCTGGGTTGTTGGGAACGGTCCTCGCCGCGGGTGTCCCAGTGTGTGTGCCGCCGGCGCTCGTATGCCTCGACGGCTCGGGGAGGGGAGGCGCGGGTGCCGGGGCTGGGGTAGGGAGGGGGGCAGCGGTCTCCTGAGCCACACTGTCTCGTCGTCAGAGAGCGGGGGGCGCGCGAGCGCGCGGCCCGTCGGACTCGCAGTGATTGTTTCCGGGTGTTCTTGTTTCTTTGGTATACAACATTACATCCCTCCCCAACAACCAAAAGATGCCCCAATCCCATTTTACGTCTCGCTAATGCTGAATTGTGGCCCCGTCTCTCGTCTCTTTTGCACTACAAGTCTACCTGCGTGTATGTGCGTGTGGCTTGTCAGTGGCGGAGCGCTCTCTATGCACGGTGACCTAATATTTTGTGTCGCTAATGTTCAAACAAGCGGTCGTGTCGTGCAGCTCGAGTGCTGGGGGGATCGTGGGAGCCGCTCAGGGACCATTCTAAAGGCGTGTTTTGGTAGCTGAGGCCTCGAAAGCGTCCCCAGGGCCCTCTGGCTCTGCATGACCTCTCCGGAGCCCCAAAACGGCGCCTGCAGGGCGGCTCGCGGCTTGAGGCTCGTAAAATGGGTACCGCTGGCATCGGCCCGATGTGCGTGTGTATCACCATTGCCGACATCGCGCACAAACCAGCCGCGAGAGTCCGTCCAAGCCTCGGAACGAGCCCAACGGGGCCATTTTGGCCCCTCGGGGGCCTTCCAGTTGCAGTTCTGCCGACCTTTGGCGCCCGATTTGGTGCCACCCTGCGGTCTTCAGACGCATCTGAGGTACTCACACGACGTTTCTACACCGGTACGTGTCGTGGGCTGACAGTCGAAAGCGGCAGAGAGCTCACAACCACCCAAGCACGCACGCCCACGACACCGTCGCTGTTTTGGCTCCGACGGCGACGGGGCGACCTATGCCCGTCTCCGTCAGTCGTTTTGATTTCGCCCTCGTCGCGAGCACGACCGCGTCAGTGCGCGCTGCCGCCGCAGTCTTGCTACCTCTTGCGCCAAAGGTGGCCTAGTGGGTCGAAGAGCCGACCCATAGGTAGGTCCGCGTGTCCGAGAGGCGGGAGGCTGGGGTGGCGGCGCGGGTGACGGCTGACGGCACTCCGCGGCGAGCCCGGAAAGGAGCGGCGAGTCCGGGCACCCAGCTAGATCGGAGGTAAACTACGTCCGCGACTTTCGGTGGCGGGGGTGGCAGTGGCGAGGCCGAGGGTGGTGGCGGCGTGGAGGTGGCGGGTGGCGAAGGGGGTGGCGGAGAGAGGCCGAGCGCCGAGGGTGTCGAGGGCGGCGGCGAGGGTGCGGCAGCAGTGAGGGTCTGCTGATTAGATAGTGTGGCGCCTTTTGGGGATTTCGTGGACACGTCCCACGAGCCTTTTACAGTGTCATTGGGTTGTCCCCAAAAGTGTTGGTAGATAGAGGTCTCTGACACTTCTGAGGACCGAGCCCTCTCATCCCTGGTCTGGACGACTTTTCGCGGTATTCGCGGCGAGATATGGCGAGATACCGCGGGGTGCCACGGGATACGGCGGGATATGGCGGAATACCGGGGGATACCGGGAGATGCGGGGAGATGCGGTGCGGGGAGATACGGGGAGATATGGGGAGGTATGGGGAGGTATGGGGGGATGCGGGGAGATACGGGGACATATGGGGAGGCATGGGGAGATAACCATCTGCGATGAGGCGCAACTCCCCGCACCTGGCCCGCTCCCGTCCCACGCGTCCTCACGCCGTTCCTCCTCACGCCGTTCTCCTCACGCCGTTCCCTGCCCTGCCCTACTCACGCCGCGTTCCCTGCCCGCCACGCACAGCCCGAGGCGCACGCCAGGGAGTCCGAGGCGGGCGGTGAGGAGATAGAGGTAGACGAGATCGACGCTGGGGGCCGGAGACGACCACTGCGGTGGCGGCGAGCGGGGAATTGGCAGCTCGGCCGCGGCGCCCGATTCCGGCACGGGCGCCGCCTCGAGCACGATGACCTCGCCGGGTGCGGGGACGTCAGCCGACGGGGCGGCGCCCGCGCCGGGTCCGCCTCCGCTGCGGCGGCTGCCATAAGTGCGGGAGAGAGTGATGGGGTCCTCCTATCTTTTCTTGCTCAGCGCGCCGGACGATGTCGTGGTGGTCATGTTCGAGGACTACGAGCCTGAAGACTCCCGCACGCCAACCGTCGCATGGCGGCCGAGAGGCGCAGGTGGGCAGGGAGCATCTTGCGGATAGCGTCGCATGCGCACGCTGCTGTTCTCTCAGCGAGGATGTGGCGGCTTTGCTCTCGTCGGACGACGAGGAGCTGCTGCGAGGCGGCTGAGACGTTCGAAGCGCTGGGCGAGGGCAAGGGGCCCGTCGGCGTCGTGAGCGCGGTGGACGACGACGACGACGACGACGAGGAGGAGGAGGAGCCGGTCAAGAAGTAGGGGGGGCGCGCCCTAGGGTTGCCCGCACCCGGCGGCCCGGCCAAGACGCGCCGGGCGGTGCGGGCTTTTGACAGGCTTTTGATTTGAGACCATATGGAGATGGCTAGTGGCGCGCGGCTGGGTTGTTGGGAACGGTCCTCGCCGCGGGTGTCCCAGTGTGTGTGCCGCCGGCGCTCGTATGCCTCGACGGCTCGGGGAGGGGAGGCGCGGGTGCCGGGGCTGGGGTAGGGAGGGGGGCAGCGGTCTCCTGAGCCACACTGTCTCGTCGTCAGAGAGCGGGGGGCGCGCGAGCGCGCGGCCCGTCGGACTCGCAGTGATTGTTTCCGGGTGTTCTTGTTTCTTTGGTATACAACATTACATCCCTCCCCAACAACCAAAAGATGCCCATTTTACGTCTCGCTAATGCTGAATTGTGGCCGTCTTGTCGTCTCTTTTGCACTACAAGTCTACCTGCGTGTATGTGCGTGTGGCTTGTCAGTGGCGGAGCGCTCTCTATGCACGGTGACCTAATATTTTGTGTCGCTAATGTTCAAACAAGCGGTCGTGTCGTGCAGCTCGAGTGCTGGGGGGATCGTGGGAGCCGCTCAGGGACCATTCTAAAGGCGTGTTTTGGTAGCTGAGGCCTCGAAAGCGTCCCCAGGGCCCTCTGGCTCTGCATGACCTCTCCGGAGCCCCAAAACGGCGCCTGCAGGGCGGCTCGCGGCTTGAGGCTCGTAAAATGGGTACCGCTGGCATCGGCCCGATGTGCATGTGTATCACCATTGCCGACATCGCGCACAAACCAGCCGCGAGAGTCCGTCCAAGCCTCGGAACGAGCCCAACGGGGCCATTTTGGCCCCTCGGGGGCCTTCCAGTTTGCAGTCTGCCGACCTTTGGCGCCCGATTTGGTGCCACCCTGCGGTCTTCAGACGCATCTGAGGTACTCACACGACGTTTCTACACCGGTACGTGTCGTGGGCTGACAGTCGAAAGCGGCAGAGAGCTCACAACCACCCAAGCACGCACGCCCACGACACCCGTCGCTGTTTTGGCTCCGACGGCGACGGGGCGACCTGTCTGTGCCCGTCCGTCAGTCGTTTTGATTTCGCCCTCGTCGCGAGCACGACCGCGTCAGTGCGCGCTGCCGCCGCAGTCTTGCTACCTCTTGCGCCAAAGGTGGCCTAGTGGGTCGAAGAGCCGACCCATAGGTCCGCGTCCGAGAGGCGGGAGGCTGGGGTGGCGGCGCGGGTGACGGCTTACTGACGGCACTCCGCGGCGAGCCGGAAAGGAGCAGCGAGCCCGGGCACCCAGCTAGATCGGAGGTAAACTACCTCTGCGACTTTCGGTGGCGGGGGGTGGCGAAGCGAAGGGGACGTAGGAGACATGCCGAGGGTGGGTGCAGGGGTTCCTAAAGAAACCCTTGGGCTCGATATCGCTGACAGCGCTCACAGCTAAACCTCTTCCGACTAACGATGAGCAGCCCGGCAGCGGCGGCTGGTTTAGCACCCGAGTGGTCAGTGATGCTCAGCGGGCAGTTTGCACCTTACGACGCTCCCGTATCGCGCGCCATCGAAGAGGCGTTTCAACGTGGCGACGACGAGATCATCGCCACGATTCGAGGCTCGCAATACGTGATTGCGCTCAAGCCGCCGTCTGCGATGAAGCAGCAGCTCGTTTCCGATCCCTCTCGGCAGCGGGCCGTCAGGCGCGTGCCCGCACCGGCGACCGCGGAACCAGCGGTGAGCAAGCGCAAGCGTGATGCGGACGAGGCAGACCCGGTGTCTGATCCGGTCCAGCTCATGGACGGGCTTTCCTACACGTGCACATTCCACGACTCCGCGTCGTCCAAGCAATATCACGGCGGATCAGACGTCTCAATCGAGTTCACGTGCAGCGTGCCAGGCATGAACGGCACCAGCTGCTACGACTGGCGAAGCACCAAGGGCTTCCTCTTGATTGGCCGCGACTCGATGCCTCCGCTCCTCACCCTCAAAATCAGCGACTCGATCAACCATCTCGGCGGCCACAGCTTCAGCGGAGGCAGCAGTGGCCACGTTTACCGCACCTCCTTTGCAAAGTGTCCGGGCGCTTCGATCGACCCCTCGTCGACGATGTTGATCAAGCTCGACGAGCAGGGCCTTGCCGACGCTGAGAGAGTCCGCCGCACCGCGCTTCAGCACCGACCGGCCTTTGTGGCGCTGCTCGACGCGTGCGGCGGTGGCTTCAATGTCGAGCTCACCTCCACTCACGCCACGAACAAGGCGACGTACATCACGCTGAAGGCGGAGACGCCACGCGGCTCGACGTTTGATCTCGACGTCCGCATCGGAGGCGCGCACATGTCGCAATCGCGCGTGACCCGCAAGCTCACGGCTGACCTGGTCGGCAGTCTGCGCGAGTTTGCGGCGCTCGGCGACGGTGCGGGGACGTATGGCCGCATCACTCTCACTGCGACCGGCTCGGACCTGGAGGTTGGGCCAGACAGCTTCTCGATTGCCACAGCGGCGGCGCGCACGACCGGTGGCAGGTTCACCGTCGCGCCGTCGCCCTACGATCGCTGAAAGGCCTCTCATGTGCGCAGTCTCGTGTCACAGAGACCGTCGCTTCGCCGTCGACGCGCATCGCGCTGACCGTATTGTACACATACACAGCGGGCTCTCCGAATCTCCGACGCGGAAGACGGCTAGTGCTAGTCCCCCACCGGACGCGCTCGCGGTACCTGTTCCAAGACGGCGGCTGCCACCGCGCGTACCCGGGTATCTAGTGTGCGTGTTGGTTGGTGATGGTCTGCAAGGCTTGATGCAAGGCGGCCGGCGGTGCCGGTGGGGCGAAGGCCGAAGGGGGGGGGGAGGGGGGCATTCGAGGGTATGGTCCTGTCGGCGGGAGGCTTGGCCTGTCAGCAGGAGGGGGGCAGTCTTTGAGCAGGAAACCATACACCTTGAGAGAGAGAGAGTAAACCTTCCAAAAATTGTCCCCAGACAAGGTTATGGGAGCGGCCATAACAGGTGTTATGGCTGTTATGGCTGGCTGCTCATAACACCCCATATAACACCTCATAACACCTCATAACACCTCCATCGCTGTTATGGCTGTTATGCCCACCCTACCATAACACCTCATAACACCTCATAACACCTCATAACACTCATAACACATCCCACTGGTTGTTATGACAGCCAGCATAACAACCTCATAACAGCTGTTAATGTGTCACGGATTTTTCTTTTGGACGCCGCGATAAACCCGGCGTAGGGTAAATTCTTCTTTTTGGAGCGCCCGCCCCGCGCCGCGTAGCTACTACCAGCCAACCATGGCCTACCGGATGAGGATGTTCATGAGCCAGAAGCCCTCGTCGGTTGACCTGCGCGTCTCCGACTTCAAGAGGGTTCCCGGCTTCAACTATGTGGAATGTGCTGCCTGTGTTGGCGGAGGACGAGCACACGTACGACTCGCTGTGCTCTGATATCCGAGAGGCGTGGTCCATCAACGCGGAAAGCAGCAACATCCATCCATCGATCGCGCGATGAGTCATCCGGATGAGGAAGAGTTTTACAACTTACTCGCTCGCACGACTGGCACGGAGCTTTAACTACTAAAAAGCGGGAGCAGCCAGCTTCCACTTGTTAGA